TTTTCTTAGATAGGTTTGACTTTGACTATGTTTAGAAGTTTGACCCTATAAATAGGGTGATGTCTTTTGTAATCTTTAGAAAGGAGCTCATTTGTAAATTTGATACGTAATAGAGAGTTTGACTATCCTTTGAATGTTTGACTTTCTCTCTCAAAGTTCATATATGTGTTCTTGAAGATTTATCTTAATCTGCCATGATTATGAAGATTGCTTGAAGATTGATCTTAAAGTGGGACTCACACTTTCAGATTTTGGACTGAATCCGATTCTACTTAGGACATATGTGATCGATCATGCCTGGACACATATCCCAATCCGGATGTTAGAGTTTATCTGTATGCGTATTATATCCAAATAAGTCTCTTAATAGAAATATTGGAACGTAACCGATAGAGACATTGGATTTGAAAGCTAAAAACCAAGAATATTTCTACATGTTGGATCAGATGTATTTGTGTTATTATAAAAACATATGGTTGAAACAAACAATCCATTCTTTTTGGAGATCCATTGCCCCAAGGAACTATTTTCTTAATTTCTACAGGTGGCAAGTATGCACTTCTATGACATTTTGGTGATCTCCAATTTCAACGATCAACAGAACTTCCCCTTGCAGACATAAGGTATTTGCATGCTCTTCTCCATGATGAATTCGGAAGAGCATTTCCAGATGGAGTCAAGGCTATTCTCCATAATTGGATCTCTCAACTAGGATTAAGACATATTAAGTTTGAACAAGAACGACTTTTCGATATTCTTCTCACTATGTCAACTTAAACATTTTTGTTGTTTTAATTTTTAAGATTTTTAATATGATATAAATTCATAAATAATTTTTGTTTATTACTCATTTTATAGGATTTATAGTTTTAATATGTATATAACAATACTTCCAAAAACGTTGAGACAACCTCTTATTCACCCTTTGTCATTCCAAATGTAATTCTAATAAAGTGTTTGTTTTATTTTCATCATATTTCTATTTGAATGTTATTGACATCTTGAATGATGAAATTTGGAAGTTTGACCAAAACAATTATGACTTTTGGTTAACGTGTTCATATCATTTTTAATAGAAGTTACTTATTAATAAATAAATATCCAATATTATTATTTTTTGATATAATAATATTAATAGAAAACTTATGAATACATAAAAGATAACATAGTTTGATATGTTCAGTGGTGTTTGTTTTTTAAGAGCTGTTAAAGTTTGAAATCTTATTTCACTTCTGATTAATAAAAGGTAGTATTAAAGTCTGAGATCTGAATCGATGAGACTATTTGTTTTTGTAAAATGATTACTGTCTGAATTTGTTTAAATTATCTATTTTACCGATTAGAAAATTGTAATGTTGAATTTATAGACATATTTATATAATTTCACATACTTATTCATCATCATTATGAAATTTATATTTAAATCACATAATTGGCATTCATTTAAATAAAAATATGCCATTAAAGGTAATTAACACATTTAAATCCTATTAAAATACGCCAATTAAGATATGTGAGGATCATTTGGTAGCGATCAATTGAGAGAAATGGTCGATTAAGGTTAATCGATTGAGAAAGGTCGTTGCTCGAGAACAATAAGAGACAGATAAGAGGTTGGTTTACCTCTTAACAAATAAGAGGACAATAAGATTTTAATACCTTTGAAAATTTAGGAAAAAAACAAACAATCTGAATGACCCTACCTCTTAACAAATCAGATATAAGAGGCTAATAAGGAGCTTTTTTTCAAAAAAACTAAACAGGGCCTTGGTTATTTTGAAAAACCATTTTTCAAAAATCTCAGTTGAAGCCTATAATAAAAGATCTCAAATGTTTAAGGAACTCGATAACTAGTACAACCCTGTTGATGTGATTCTTTTAAAACTTACATTGCATGAAAATAGATTATAGTTTTTATTATGAATAGTTGTCTTTCAAAAGCTTATTGTTGAAGTTTACAACAAGACGTTTAAAGCATTCAAGGGACTCCACTACCTGATTATTAGTTATATTTTTAAGTCTGTTGTTCCTAACTATTTTATGTACAGGTAAAAAATAGCATTAGTTGTAGTTATTTTGTTTGGTTTGGTACTCCTGGATGATGCGTTTGAAATCAATTTGGCTCATTTTCCTATTAGTATCATTTTCACACTTGGAATGAGTACTCTCTCTTACTTATTTCAGCATCATTTTCACATTCCAAATGTAAAGAGATACATCGGTATTCTCAAGTTTTTAACAAAGATAGAAATGAAAATAAGGTTATGTACGAACAAATCAAAATGGTGGATAAGCTTCAACGACAAAAGAAGTTGAAGAACTCAAATCCCGACTATTAGATAGCAGGAAAGGAAAGGAATGTTTTTCTCAAGCCCATTCTTTAAAGATTGAAACAACTTTGTCCAAGTTTTCAACTTTAGGATCTTTGATGACTGAATCACTTCTCAGAACTGGTTCATGTGAATTGCTGATTAAAAATGCATAATATATAAGGTACTCCATTCTCATTACTAGCATGCGAAATACAATAAAACTGAATGAAAATGAGTCCTAAGAAATGGGATCCCTTGTCCCGATTCTCTTTACGTTGGTTAATGAGGTTTTAAGGAAAATCCTTATGGAAAATAGATGTAACATTAATGAAGGTGTTTTTATGCCGAGGTATGTCACACCTACTACGTTTATATGACTTTTTGGTCTCTTTTTAACAGAATCTAGTCTATGATCACTTCATATCAAATGTACATTTTTTTATGTTAGTTATCGTTACATGATCTGTTTAAGACAAAATTATGTAAAAAGTAAAACCGGTTTTTCTTCCAATCGGATCTCTTGAGAAAGTTTGAATCATGTTTTTTTTTTGTGATGAAGTTTTTTATTATGATCTTCTGAAATAAAAACGCAAGTATAGCTAGTTTTTATATATACATTTTTTCTTATTTTCAACTTTTAATTTTAGTTTTAATGCTTATTTTTTTAGAACTGTATGTTAAGTCAAGAATAGTGAATATATATAATAAAAAGTTTTAAATATGGTACACAATTCAAAAAACATTTAATTAATCAAACCTAACAAAGCGGTGTATCTATGAATTTAAGAGGTGTATGATTTATGCAGATCTTATTATCTTAGGCCTGGTTTGTTTTTTGATTTTAATCTATTATTAGCCCTTATCACTTACTGAATAAGAGGTTAGCCAATTAGTGTTTTTATCTTTTTTTTTCCTGAAATAAGAGGTTATAACCTCTTATCGTATTTTGATTTGATAAGTGGAAAAAAAAAACCTCTTATCGCCTTCTCCAGAATTCGACACTCCGTTCATCCTATGGATCTCTTCATCCATCATCGATCTTAAAACCCTATCTTCTTCTCTACAATCGATCCTAAACTTGAAAATCGACCCTAAAACCCTATCTTCCTCTGTGCAATCGATACTAAACTTGAAAATTGACCCAAAAACCCTATCTTCTTCTCTACAATCGATCCAAAACTTCAATTGACCCTAAAACCCTATCTTCTTCTCTACAATCGATCCAAAACTTCAATTGACCCTAGACTTTGATCGATCATATACCCAATCAATCCTAAAACCTCTTACCATTTTTTTCATCATCCGTCGATCTTTTGCAATCAATCGACCAAGATTTGGTTCATCCAAGAGCTTTAGCACTCATCTCAATCGATCTCACTCTCTCAATAGGGTAATGCATTTTGGTTTGTTTTGTTAACTGATTCCCATTTCAAGAATCTTGAAAATCTGTTTCTCTACTTTTCTGCTATGAACTGACTACTACCAATTCAAGAATCTTGGAATCTTGTTTCTTTTACCTTGGTGTTATGAATAGATTACCATTTCAAGAATCTTGAAATCTTGTTTCTCTACCTTTATGTTGTTGTCTTGAATCTAAATTGCAGAATGGTTTAACTTTCTTTGCCTTGTTTCCCATGTTTAACTTGTTTCGAATGAGCATAATAGAAAAATATAACCAAAAAGTTTTGAGCAGTTATGCAATGTAGATAACTTGAGAAATCACATGTGTATACATTTAAGAAAATGGTTCACGTGTTTATGCCCCTACCTTAACCCGTGAGATGAAATGCATCATACAGATTTTGGTGCTTTTATTGTGCTGGTTTTAGGGTTTGCTAGAACCGGTTTGACCGATGAGGCACTTGAAGCATTTAAGCAGTTAAAGGATCAAGGATTGGAATTGGAATTGGAATTGGATGTTGTTTCTTGGACATCAATCATTGCTTGTTGTTCATAACATGGAAAACATGTTGAAGCTCTTGAACGCAAGATTCTAGGGTGAAATCGAATGCTTTAACATCCTTTGCTTACTTCCAGCAAGGGAAACATTGCAGCATTGATGCACGGGAAGGCAACACACAAAATGTCCACTAGAAAAAGGATTATGAATGATGTTTATGTGGGAAGTGCTTTGATTGACATAATTGTGGAAGGATACAATCATCTCGACTTTAAAACTGTATGCCAGTGGGTGATAGTATATTTTGAATGTGTTAAAAATGGATGGTGGTATAATTCAATTAAAATGATTTGATGATTTTATAAATTCAATAGTAAAACATTTTTAGAGATAAAATAGATAATTACATATATTCAGACGTATCGATTTACAAAAACAAACAGTCTGTTTGATTCAAATTTAGACTTCGACATCATTTCTTATCAGTTAGAAATGAAATAAAACTCCAGACTTTAACAACTCTTGAAAAATAAACGCTATAATATGTTTATCCAAGACAAGAAGGATAAATATAGGGACTAAAATAGACCCCCTTCTATTCATTTTTAGTACATTTTTGTTGTCTAATTAAATATGATGAAACATTGTTTGTGGCTTACCATCAAAATTATATTTTAATACAAAAAAATAATTTTGGCAAATTGCAAAATGGAATTATTTTGGTCAATTTCAAATTTTAGAGATGTTTCATCAAAAATAAGATTAAAATCATATAATATTTAAATATAAAAAACATATTATATTTAAAAAAAATCCAAAGAGTACAAGCTACATAGCATTCGTCTACAGAAAAAAAGTGGTCACGTTATGCATAGTAAATTAAAAAGCATCCCTGCAAACATACAAATTGGAAACAAGAACGACAAATCTGAAACCATGAGGGAAATCACGTGATTCAACTTCAAGAGCACCGTTCAGGCGAGATTCCAATCCTTGAATTCGGCAGGTCGAACAGGATCCGATGATTCTGTTGCTGCATATTGGCGATCACGTTCAACGACGGCGACGCTGACATCGCCAGACAGGTGATGCCGCCGTTGGAGCTGTAGATCAGGAAGTTCTCCTGCTTTATCGCCATAACTACTCCCTCAAGCACAAACGACATCGTCGGCACCTGTTTTCCGACCGGTACTTTGTAGCATGTGTCAAACCCTCCCAGCGACGTCACCACCGTCTTCCGTCCCATTCTCCTTCTGAATTCGTCTCTCACCGCCGTGTATGCCGGCGTCACCAGCCTCGTGAATACGGTTCCTGTTCAAACCCCCATCGTAAATTGTAATTACTACTGATTTCAGTGAATTTGATTAAAAGTAATTCGAGAACCGAATGAGTTACCGGAATCAATGATTGTGCCGGCGCCGTTGTTAGGGTTGAGTGCAAAAGCAGTCGGCGGGATGTTGACGAGCTTAGGGCCAACTTTGATTCCGACGAGCTTCACATAGTAAAGCGAAGGTCTTCTAGGGTTTGTTAGCAATGGCGTGAACTTGATGTTTTTGGGTTGACCGTCAGGACCTAGTCTTAGGGTTCCGGCGAACTTTGGAGACTTGAAGCTAGGCAGACAATAGGAAAATGTGGATTTGTAAAGGCTTTTGGATTGCGAAAGCAACGAGAGCGATCCACGGCCGAGTCCTAAAACGCCCTGCGGAGGGAGAGAAGTTCCGGTGACCTTTTGAATGCAGCCGAAGGGGTAGCCGACGATGGTGTCCATGGCTAGGGTTAGGTTATCTTGTGCCAAGTTAGCAGCTATGGACGAGCTTCCATACGTCATGTTCATCGAGCATGTTGACGTTCCTAGACAGTTCGAGTCCATCACCTGAATCACATACCAATCGTTATACAGAAGTATACATCGTTGCTACAATAAAATCATGTATAAAAAAATATTTCGAAGTTTAATGGTTTTTTATTCCAAAAAAAATAGTTTAAATACTTAATCATTTAAATTAAAAAAGTTTAATAATTTATTTCTTAATAACTTTTCCTTAAATTTTTTTATATAAAATATTATATTAACAATTTTATAAATCATTATTTAAGTAAATGTCTTGTAAAAAGATATGTTTACAGGATACTTATAAAAAGTTTATATATAATAATTAATACAAATATATTTAACAAAGTTAATTACCATGTTTTATAAACTTAAAAAATTCCTGAAAATGCCATGTTTACAATCGAAAAACGTTAGCCAGGCCATGTGATCGACCAGTCAATTTTGGCTTAATTTTTGGCAGAAATATCTACAGATAAAACACATGACATCGAGCCATGTAATCCACCAAAAGACCAGAGTCACGGGTTGCTCAGATCTTCCATCTGACAAACAAACCCCATCTCAAACGCTAGATTTTGAAACAAAAAGTACAACCCTTAATGCATCATGTACAACTTGATGTATATATATAGAGAGAGAGAGAGAGAGATACGTATTAGTTATTATTATATACGTACCTGTCTGCATTGAGCAGCACCGCAGTTAAGAGACGTAAAAGTGGTAGATTTGGCAAAAGCAAAACCGGCGGAAGCACAGCCAACGCAGCCGGTGCACGGAACCATGGCCATGTCGGTGCTTGTATCCAACGCCATAAGCAAGGTCTGAGCCGGCGTACCGATCTTAGCTTTGACGATGTAAGTAGGGCTTTGTATGATCTGTCTGCCGGAGCCGATGGGAACGATGGACCGGCCGGCGACTAGGCTGGAGAGGTAGGCAAGGCGGGTCTGATCGTCGGCCTGCATTTGGAGGATGGTGTCCGGCCATGAGAGTGCGGTTTTAGGGCGGAAGGGAGAGCAAGGGCTGGAGACATGGTAGACTTTGAGGGTAGAGTGTTGGTCATGGGAGTTGCAGGTAGGGTTGAGGGAATGGCCGGAGACGAAGAAGAGGAGGAAGACAAGGAGTAATGGTAGAGACTCCATTGAATATTGATGATGGGTGACAGTGGAGGGAAGTGTGGGAGTAAGTATTTGTGGAAAGGTAGGGTGGCAGAGTATATATATACAATAAAGTTTCTGCTCATCAGGATCTGTTTTTTTTTTTTTTTTTCGAAATTAAAAAGTTTAAGTGAAACTGTATTTTTACCCTCAAAATAATAAAATTGGATGAAAATCGGAGTAAATTATAGTTTGGGTCCCTATGGTTGTTATTTACTGTTAATTCTCATTCATATTTTGAACTAATCTTAGTTTTTGTTAATATGATTGTCATTTTATTTCATTTTTGGTCATTTAAAGTGACTTCCATTAAAAATGTTTGTTAACTCAAGGTTTTTTTGGTTGTTTTCAATATTTTGTCTATTTCCTATTTTATTCTATTAAAAATGTCTTTTCTTTTAGGGTAAATTACCAAACTAACCATTTTATATCTCATATATTAACAAAATAACTATTTCTAAGCGAAATTGCCAAAATAAACACCCAAATCGCCCCTGGGGACGATCCCCTTGAAATTGTACAAAAAATATTATAAAAAATCATTTTTTGTAGGTCCCAAATGCTCCTTTTAGGGTACAAGAGGGTACAGACCTCGGTTTGCATGGATCTATTCCGGGGGGCTATCCAGCCTTTAACTTTTTTTTAATATCGATTAAAGGATGTTTTTAATAAACATGAGACGATATTTAAACTGTTTTTTAAACCTTTTTTTCATGGTTTTATTATATAAAATAAAACTACTTTTACTCTCACAACCCGTAAACCTTATAAAAATACGATTGTACGTGAAGATTTTTTTTTAAATGCATAAACTAAGCAACGAATCTTGTTATATTTTTCTTATAAGAAATGTTGATTTTCCCTAATAATTGTGGAGACGAAAAAAATTATTTATATCTGATTTGGTGAACAAAAATCAGATATTTTATGTTGAATCTTATTTTGTCTTTTAGTACAACAAATTTCATTATAAATATTAACCTCCTATTTCATTATTTTTCACACCTACTCTTTCATTTATCTTCTCATATATTTTACTCTCACAACTCTTAACCCTTCAACACAATAAATCATCACAATTTTTAACCCTTAACCCATTAAACACAATCAACCATCACAAAACATGAAATCACGTTAAAGTGATGATGTTTTCGTGTATCTTCGAAGTGGCGGTTTATTCCAAGAGATAAATGGTGTGTTAGAGTACCTTCCGTTAAGCTCCCCACATATGTGTATTACATTTGCCTTCGCCAATAACGTATTTTGAGGTCGTTAAACGTGTCACTAAAAAGTTAAGTTTACGTGCTCATTTCATTTTATTTTATAAAACGAATTCGATCCAGATATTATATCAATTAATCGACGACGACGATGTGGTAATGTTCCACAACGCCATTCGTCAAAGTTTACCAGAAATGTTGACACTTTTTGTGGTCGACGATGATGGTTATGGTGGAAATCAATCAAGTGCAAACCCAGGCGGTGTCGGTTTTTCTAGAGGTGGGATGGAGAGGAAGTCGGTAGGGATGACGATTATGGTCCCCTCCCCCCCCCCCCCCGGACCGCCTATTTATATTAACCGTTACATAATAAGACAAATACATCGTCAAATCGGCGTCAAATCATAGACACTAAAAGATGAAATAACGGTCAAACTACGTAAATCAAATATAATATCTGATTTTTTTTTTCCAAAAATTAGATAAAAATAATTTTTCCGTGACCACAATTATCATGGTTTTATTTTATAACCTAAAACCATGAAATTTTAACTTAGAAAGGTTAAAAAACACAGTTTAAATATCGTTTCATTTTTATTAAAAACACGTCTTAATTGTCAAATCGTCGTCAAATCAAAAACACTAAAAGACGAAATAGCGGTCAAACTTCATAAATCGGATATACTATCTGATTTACGTCCCCCAAATTAAATAAAAATATTTTTTGCGTATCCACAATTATCATGGTTTTATTTTTAAGCCTTTAACCATGAAATTTAGTACAAAAAAGGTAAAAAAATACAGTTTAAATAGTGTCTCCCTTTAATTAAAAATACCTCAAAAAAATTAAAAACAATATAAAAATGTTGGATCGTCCCCGAGTTGGATCCACTAAAATCGAGGCCAAATAGTGTTTTCTTTTTTTAGGAGATATGTGGGACCCATCAAAAATGATTTTTTAATTTTTTTTTGTACTTTTTCCTATTTTTAAAGGGGATCGCCCCCATGCTTGGATAGTGTTTATTTTTGCAATTTCGCTTAGAAATTGTTATTTTGTTAATATATTAAGTATAAAATGGTTAGTTTTGTGATTTTCTCTTTCTTTTATCATTGATGGACAAGGTACACTTTCTCTATTTCCATCCAACCATCGATAAAGGTACACTTTCTTTATATCATCTTCTTCGACCATCTTCTCCATTTTCCCAACCAACTTCTCCGGTCAACTTCTCCACCGTTTCTCTAATTCTCTGGTCAACCTCTTCATTGTATGTAAATGGTATCCAAAGTCCAAAATCCCACCCTCACATGTCATAACAGGTTTTAGGATCTTGCAACACTCAAAGAGATAGGGGGTCTTTGTTTTAACAATACTATCCTGATTTGCACCAGAATCCCAACCCCATCTTTAAAAAAAATTCCAATTTTCAAACCCTAGTCTGCACCGAATCCCACTCGTTTATTCTTTATTATATGGTAGTAGGGTTGCATTAGTGGAGACGGTCTTATACACAGATGGGAAGAATGGATCAAGCAAACATAGATCCCCAATTTGGCCAAAAATCAAACCTAGTGACCTCAGTTTTGGCAAAAATCAAAATCATATTTGAATCGATGACCAAATAAAATGCAATTCGAAAGCATATTTGAATTAGGTTTAGGGAAGGGGTTCTACACACGATAAGGGTGTTGATCTAAACTCTCTTAGTGATTTAATGATGACCCTACATACTTAATGAAATATATTTTTCTATTTATGTTCAGTTTCAGCGATCATTCTAAGTCTGTTTCAGTAATCAATGAACATGCATTATAAACTTCTCAAAGCACAAATATTTCTCAAAGATAAAACTCACACCAAAGGAAACCTTCAGCGATGTCGAAGAAGAAGCTGAAGATAGAGACATTAGAAGTACATGATCTGAAGTGGATCCAGTGATAACAAGAATGTCTAAATCAAAGTGTGAAATCTGACCAAGATTCAGCAAACACTAAAGAACCTCTAGAAATGAATTAGAGTCAACGATCAAATGAATCTTGTTCCACAAGATTAGTTTTTGTCTTATCCTATATGCACAAAAGGACAACCCTATACCTCACACAAAAAAGTACACGTACGGAGTTACTTTATTGTCTCCAAACTTGCTTACCAACTTTGTGAAAATCAACTGTTCGTATGCGGTCAAAAACCTGAATATCTGAAGACAAAAGACAAGCTCTCTACTATAAGTTGTCCAATGACTTGTACCCTCTGACTTGCATTAAATCCAATGGGTATAAAATAATTGAAAAGACTCTTCTTCCCAGTAACTCCTTCTTTCTAAAAACCCTCTTCTCTCTTGAACTTATCTTATCTTTGTGCATCTGTTATGTGTTTCTTAGATTGTTTAGATTAAGTCTTAACCTTATATTTTTTTACAACAATCTGTAAATGTATTAATCCTTTTTAATCAATAAACGAATTTAAAAAGTGAAAATTTTGTGTGTATTCACCCTCATTTTACAAACTGTTACCTTTAAAACTCTTGTGGATTCATTTGAGATCAACAAAGGATGGTGGCAGGTTGTTGGGTTTTATTGTAAGTGATGAAATTCAGCAAACAATAGGTGGTGGTCGACACTAGGTTTTGTCGTGGTGGTTGAATTCGGGGAGAAAGGATGGCTGATGACCACCGGGTTTTTTCATCGTTGGGGTTTGTCACTGAGACATCGAGGTTAAGGGTAATGTGTTAAGTGATGCAAGTCACTAGAAGGATAAGTGAAGGGAAGAAGATGGGAGAAGAAAAAGGATGGGAGAGCGGATTTGAAAGAGGTGTAAATAGTGGGGGGTTCGAAGAATGAGAAAAGACAAATAATATAGCAAATACATATACACTTAATTCTTTAATTGAAAATAAAATACATTATAAAAGAGCAAAAAGCCCCCGACTTAATAGACCTTTTAAACAAGAGTTAGTTCAAATGACAAAACTGAAATAAAATGACAACTACAGTGATCAAAACTGTAATTACTTCAAAAGAGGGATGAGAGTTGCTAGTGAGTGGCAATCATAGGGACCAAAAGTATAATTTACTTTAAAATTTGATAACTTGCTTTGTGTAAAATGCATTTAAAACATGGACAAACCTATGTCCAACCGTATTTTTTCTCCGTTGAATGCTAAAAAATTTAGGTTCGTGAAAAGTTCAACCGTATTAATTTGTTATAAGTTACCGTATGTATTTTGTAACTACAATGAAAAAAAGTTATCTTTGGTAGAGTTGATTTGCAAGGTTTTTCTTCCACCCAGACATGAGTTCGAATCCTTTTAGTGTCATTTTCTTAGTCAAATTGTGTCGTTCGTTTTGAATTCCCCCCCCCCCTATATTTGATTATTATAGTCAAATGGTGCTACCGGTTGAAAAAAATTCTAAGTCCGTCCTTGATTTAAAATCTTTATTTTGGTATATTCGTCCTCACATTTGAATATTTTGATATCTATTTTCTATACGAGAATCCTTACAATTAAGTTGAGTTTATATGATGTATAAAATGTCTAATCGTTCTAATAAAAAATATTCTATTGTATAATAGTGTTATAATATGTTTGTAGAATGTTTTTAGCCATTTTAACAAGTTTTTAGAACATTTTAAAAATAAGATGTCATTTTAGCTATTTTGTAAACATTATCCAGAAAAAAAAAGTCTTCTATATAAAGATGGGTTTTAGAAGATTACTTCTTTTAAATGTCCTATAAAATAACTAATACAACATTTTATTATAAAAATCTTCTCGACAAACTTGG